GTTCCAGTTCTGTTCCTCCTTCTCTTTTTGACCCCCTCCTCCACTCCCTACCCTCATTTCCTAATTTCTGCCCTGGGTGCTGATGAGGGAGGAACAAACTTTCTAAGCAGCTCTATGTCTGCCTTTGGTGGGTTACAGGCAGCCCCTCTCACCCTGACACAGCAGGGGTGGAACATTTAGTGTAAATTTGGGCTGGGAATGCAGCTCAGGGGTGATGTTTGTGCTTAGCATGCACAGGGCTCTGGGGTCCATCCTTAGCCTCAACCTCAAGAGAATAACACTCATGTCTGTATTGCCTAGGTTAGAACACCGAGCGTTTGCCTCCACCTAGATGTCTATGTAAAGCATCCCTCACTTTATCTAAATGTCCTCTGAACCTGGCCTTGCAGTATGTGTGTATCTCAGGCTATTCTAGGGAGACAGGTCAACAGTAGTAGGGTTCCAGACTTGGGAGCTCAACTCCCTCTGTTCCAGTTTCTACATGGAACCGTCAAGTCCTCCCTGATGGTAAAGCAATATGGTTTGTCCAGCTAGTTTCCAACCTCTGTGGCTCACTCCCTTCATCTCCAGTGATGACGATGGCCTTCCTGGGGTTTCCCAGTCCTAGTCCTCTGGCATTACTCTCCCAGCTGATCCAACTCAAGAGAACCATCCCCTCCTCTCTGTAGGCAGGGCAGTCATCGATGGGATCCCGTTGCCAACCTCACTCTCTTTCCTCTCTGTATGGGAAAGACTGAGGAAGCCTCTGCTTCTGGGTTTGTTCCCTTAAGCTAGTAACTGGTTCTCAGGGGTCTTTTGAGAAAAGAGGTATGGGATAGCCATTTGAGATATCACTTGCTTCTGTGTTTCCATTCTGTCCTCTTGGTGGGTAAACAGGTGTGTGCGTGTGTGTGTGTGTGTGTGTGTGTGTGTGTGTGTGTGTGTGTGTTGGGAGGTAGACCTCAGTAGGAAGTGATCAATCTCTTTTGCAGGTTTCTATGTGCTTCTGGGAAACGGAAACCCTTGCAAGTGTTCATCTAGTGCTTATAGCCTTGTTACTTGCTGAAGATCATGAGGTCTGCTCCTAGGTTTGTCATCTGAACTGTCTCAGTGAGGTCATTTGGGACTCAAATGGTCTCATTTCTTGGTACTCAGTAGACCCTGGAAATCCCCAGTTCACCCAGGTCAGAATTTTTGTTTTTAAATTTGATTTTCTTCCTCTTTTTTTTTTTTTTAGTGTTCTTTCTTGGGGGGTGTGTGTCCCTAAAACTCTCATCATTTGCATATCCACACTTCTTGGGTCAGGGACTAAGAATAGACCCAGAGAGGAGGGTCTGAGGGTGCTGACTGCAGGAGAAGTGAGTCAGGTTTGGGTGGACAGGATGAGAGCAGGGTTCAGGCAGAGTCTGTGGAGGGGCCTCAGCTGGTCCAGTCAAGAATTAAGCACATAACTTCAGAGTTTCCCAACTAATGCTAGGGCACAAGCTGTTCATACTCCTGTAGTCCATGGTCCACCACAAGCACTACTCAGGCGCTCTGGAACCCCACTATATCTGGCCCCTGTATAGATACAAGGACGCTGGGCATGGTAGCATGTGATTGTAGCCCCAGTGCTGGTGAGGCAGAGACAGGTGGATCCCTGAAGTTAGCTGGCAGCCAACCTACATGTGAGGTGAGGTCCAGTACAGGGAGAGTCTGTCTTCAAAATCAAGGTGGATGGTAGAAGGAGGACACCCAGGGTTGTACTGTGACAGCCACATATATGTGTACACATTTGCATCACCTGTGCATACACTGAAGGAAGGAAGGAAAGAAGGAAGGAAGAAAGAAAGAAAGGAAGGAAGGAAGGAAGGAAGAAGAGAGATGGCAAAGTACTGGGATTAATATGCTGCTGGGCTGGGAAAGGGAGGAAAAGAGCCTGAGGCCAGGGCACTTAGAGAGGACATCTTTAATCCCAGCAAGCTACCCAAATTCTTTTAGTTGAATTAAGCAAGCTTTGTTTTCTTTCAGACAGAGCTATTTCCCTAAAAGCAGGGGTTTGAGAAAATAGCAGTGAACATAGAGACCATGGGGTTCATATAACCCCCCAAACTGCAAGACTAGGGGCTTTTCATGGGTTGGGGGATTTCCAGAGGAATTTTGGTTATGTAGGAACTTGGCCGAACACTTCAAAATACTTGGCAGAACATAATATCTTATCGGGGTGGAGGTCAGGGTATAGGGTGTGGAACGTGTCAAATTCCAGAAAATAGGTCAACCCCAAATTTTACAGAAAACAGGAATGAACTTTCTTCGACCTTCTAATAAGATGGCTTCCAATTTTAAGATGGAGTGAGGCTGGCCCATCAATGGGCAGGCCACTATGTGTTATCAGTACACAGATAGGGCCCATGTTTAAACAGTTTTCTGTACCCAGATTTCTTAACTCTTCCTCTTCCCTGTTTCTTTCTTTGGGGTGTCTAGATATATTAGGTCACAATTTCTATTGTTTTACAACCTTAGATCTGGGGACTGTAAGTGAGTAGGTGGATGTGTTGCCATCTCTCTGTCACTGTGACAAAGAAAAGCTTCGGTTTTGCTCTGAATTTTGCAGGCTCTACTCTCTAATCATTGAGTCAGCATGGTGGAGAGTGTGGAGCCAAACAAAGCCACTTCCCTTGTGACTAGCATTCAAAGGTGACAGGAAGGGCAGGGGAGGTGGCTCAATGAGGAAAGTGCTTGCCGTGCAAGTGTGGATGATATGTGCTTTGAGTTCAATTCCCGGGACCCTCTTAAAAAACAAAAACAAAGAAGCAAACAACAACATCAAAAACACCAGGCATGGTGGGATACACCTGTAATTCCTGTGCTAGGGAAGAAAAGACAGGTGAATCCCAGGGGTCACTGGCCAGCTGACCCAGACGAACAGGCAAGCTCCAGGTCTCATTGAGACATCCCCAAAAGTAAGGTGGTCCAGAGGAATGAGGCCTAGGGTTGCCCTCTGTTTTCCACAAATAGGTGTATATTTATGAGTAAGTACCAGCATTTGCAACCCCTAAAAAAAAAAAAAGTCACAGGAAGAGGAGAGACTAGGACGCCACAGGAAAGGGAAGACTATTGTTCTACAGGAAAAGGAGGGGCTGGGTTTCACAGGAAGAGGAGGGGCTAGGGTATCACAGGAAGAGGAGGGGCTAGAGTACCACCAAGCCTTTAAAGGACAGATTGTGAACAGCTATGGATGAGGAGGAGCAGAATGAGTTAAACTCTCTGCTGCACTTGCAGGTACGTCACATGTGTTGCACTTTGCTTCTGTAATCTTGTTTACTTCCTGTATTAGATAGCACTCCCCTCAACCCCTAACCTGCACGTGCTTAACCGAACAGTTGCAAAATAATTGTTCCAACCATATCAGTTTTCCTTCTGTAAATATGCTCAATCGTGGTCCTTAATCATATATGCTAAACCCACCAATAACAGAAAAAGATAGAAAAAATGTGATGCCATACAGTCTATAAATTTTGTGAAGAGCTGTTGGATCAGGGCCCAACTCCTCAGAGCTTTAGCTCAGATGGGTCTGCCAGCTGGGCCTGCTAGGGTAATTAAATATAAGCTCCCCAGCTCTCTGGGTTCGATTTGTTTCCTGAAGATCTGATTTGTGCAGTACATAATACACATGCCATCCCCCTTTTGCTTTCACTTTTAAAATCCCCACTAGCGCTATTGTGGGGACCAAGCCAAGCTCAAACCTTTAGGGGATAGTTAAGATCCAAATTCTTGTACTGTGCACAGTTAGCCAAGAGGACAATTTAAAAAATAGCTCAGGGCTTCACTGTGCCATGTCTGGTCTGAGACTCTCAGATTCAATATCCTGAGATAGTCAGGCTTCTTCTAGGATGGGATAATGAGCACATCCCCTTTCAAGATGCAGAATGGAAGGGGAACCTTGGCATCTTGGTCCAGACATCTCCAGTGTATGATGGTCTGACTGTACAGCAGATTGTGATACATGGTCAGAAGAAAATGTAATTGGAATGCTGAATCTTGATGTTTTCCCAGCTACAGATAGAGATATAGTCCACTTTTGTGATGCTTGGTAGTGTATTGGCTCCATGGTGGCTATTCTGCTAGGAGAGAGTACCAGAGATATACTAGAACCAGTTTCTGCTTATGTGTTTAGCTTACTGTGGATTTGGGAGATATCATCCATTGTTAGTTAAAGAGCACCTGAAAGAGGCACCTTGTGATACTCAATCTTGATTGTCAACTTGATGGTATTTAGAATCTCCATGGAAACAAACCTCTAGGCACATCTATAAGGGACCTTGTAGATTGGGTTGAGTTGGGAAGACCCACCTTCAATGTGGGTGGTACCATGCCATAAGCTAGAGTCCTGGACTGAATAAAAAAGAGGAAGTGAGCCAAACACCAGCATCCCTCTGCTTCCTAGCTCTGTGTTCAGTGTGACCGGCTGCCACTTGCCCTGCTCCCACGCTTTCCCAGGCACGTTGCAGTGTGTGTTTAAACTGTGACCAGATGAACTTGTCCCTTCTTATATCTTTTTATTTTGGTCAAGGATTTTGAAATAGCAATTCGGAAAGCAACCAATACTTGCATGAGTGAATGACGTTTCCTGGTTTCAACCACGTTCTGGCGTTGTTACGGCTCTCCTACTTACAGTGAAGAACCTCAGATCTAAGTAGAACAGTCACCATTTTTGCCCTTATAGAGGCAGAAAGGGGGAAAATAGGTTTTCACTTGACACCTGAAGTGCTGACTCATCTTGGGGCTTTGGGTCTTACTTCGAGGGAGAAGGCAGGTAAATATGGGTGTTATGGTTGGGATTTTAGTAAATTGTTAAGCCTTTACACGATCTTAAACACTTCCTTCAGTTTTTCTATGTATATCCTAAAGTTGATTATCTATTATCAGGCAAAGATGCACCAAGGAGAAGAAAATTTTAAAAAGATTATGGTGGTTGCTGGAGCCTGCACAGTTTATTAAGAGAAGACATGCCTCAGTGATGTTTTTACTGTGCCAATATCAGGACTTAAGACCGGATGCTCTTAAATTAAATGCAGTGTGAGCACTGTAAAATATTTGACATTTCTAATTATGCTGTTATGAGCAAAATGACAATATGGGGCAACCTAGGGTGATTGCAATGAGATAGGCACGGAGTGGGGTTTTGTGGCCCAGCTTGAAGGAGGAACCTCATTAGATTCAGGCACATTTTGTGTTTGACACCGTGCAGGGCTGCAGGGCTGCAGGGCTCTGTGGTTGAGACAGTGTACATTACCCAAAAGCATAGCCATGACAGCTACAGGAGGACAGGGTAAAGGCAGCTGGAGCTCCAAGAAGGAGCTCCTCTCATCCAACAGAATGAGAGCATAGAATGGTGGCCAAACCAGGCCCTGGACCCTGAAAACGGAGCTGTGGGCTGATGTGCTGTGTGGAAGATGACCATGGTTTGTCATGGAGTTGGACATGGCAGGATAATGCAGGCTATGAGCTTCCCCAGAGGTTCATGGTATAGTTTTATAAAATATGTGTGCATGTGTGCACATGTGTGTGAGTGTACATGTATGTGTACACATGCGTGTGCATGTGTATATGTGCGTGCATGTGTATATGTGTACACATATGTGTGTACATATGTAGGGGTGATGTTTAGAAAACAGCACCCGGTCCGGCTTGTTCCTGGACTACCACCATGTTCCCGCTGCTCCTCTGCTCTGACTGGGGCTCCGGCTAGCTATATGCACAGGCTCTGGCACCCACCAGAGGAGTCCACCACGCTGCATCCACAATGTTCAGCTGAACAATATCTGCCATCCTCGCAGTACCCAGTAGAAATGAGACTCTTAAAGCTTAATGATTATCTAAAGGATTTATATATTTAGAAATGCTCAATCAAGAAGATGCTCACACAATTAGAGTTGTTACCCAATATCTAACCTTTTGATAGAAGTTGCTACCCAGGACAGCTTTCGACCCATCTGTGGTTCTCCATTGCTGATAGCCTCCTTCTTCTCCTCCCTTTCTTCTATTTCTCCCCTCCCCTTCCTCTTTTTCTCCCCTCCCCTTCCTCTCTTTCTCTCCCAGCTCCACTTCCTCTTCTACTGCCTAATCACTAAGCTCTACTTTGAATTCAATGTGGCAGAATAAGTATCCTGCTACATTCATGCCTGTATGTGTGTATACATGTGTGTATACATGTGTGTACATCTGTGTGTCTATGTGTGTACATGTGTGTGTATGCACAGATGCACATGTGTGTGTTTGTGTGTGTACATGTGTGCATGTACACGTGTACTGGTGTGGTTCCTCAGGTATCAACCACTTTGTTTTTGTTTTTTGTTTTGTTTTGTTTTTTTTTTTTTTGGTTTTTCGAGACAGGGTTTCTCTGTGTAGCCCTGGCTGTCCTGGAACTCACTCTGTAGACCAGGCTGGCCTCAAACTCAGAGATCTGCCTGCCTCTGCCTCCCAAGTGCTGGTATTAAAGGCATGTGCCACCACTGCCTGGCCCACCTTGTTTTTTAAGGCAGAGTCAGTCACCTTTTACTCAGATCTGGTTGATTCAGCTTAGCTGGCCAGCCAGTGAGTCTCAGGGATCCACCCTTCTCTGCCTCTCCAGGGCTGGGGTTATAAATGCACACTGCCATGCCTGCCTTAATGGTGATTCTAGTGGGTTCACTCAAGTCATCATGCTTGCAAGGGAAGCACTTTGATGAATGACACATCTCAGCACTTGTGACATATTTAAATCTGTTCTACTGCTTAGAATGCAGACAGACTTCTCAGGGTCCCAGGGAATTCAAGGAAGAAAGTACAAGTACAGGCTGGATCTCTGTTCCTTCATGCTGGTCTTCACTCTGCTCTTCTTTCAGCCAGCCATGATCCCAATGCTTGCCCACCACCTAACTCACCCACTCATCTAATTGCATGCATCCTTTTAGGCATCCATCTCTTGATACATTCAAGTATTCATTCATACACTTATCAATTTATTATCCATTTGTTTGCTTGACCTTCGACCTCCCTGGTTATCATCCATCTTTGTATCTGTACATGCATGCATCATGTATCCATCTACTGATCCAGGAACTCACCATGTATGGATGCATGGATGCATGCATCCATCCTGTTCATATATCCATTTACTTATCCATTCATTACACACCCACACACTCTCCACCTGTATATCCAACCATCTTCCAGCATCCCAGCTTCCCAGCATCCCAGCATCCCAGCATCCCAGCATCCCAGCATCCCAGC